AAAAGGGATACTAATAAAATCATGAATAAATCAGAGAATGATTCAACAAGAGAAAAATTTTCAACTAGGGGTCTGTGCATAAAAATAATAAAACAACTCTTTGTGGCTCTGCCATCCAAAGAGAGAAAGAAAGAAAAAGAAAAAGAAAATATTTCATTGTTGCTTTGCAAAGACAATGAATTCTTCATGCACAGGTTTCCCCATGTCTCATTTATTTATATTAACTCCTCAATTACTATGTCTTAATTTATTTATTTTAATTCCTTAATTAATTATGGCCCTGGCCACCTTCTGAGGAAGGGAGGACCATAGATGTGATGTGTGGGCTAGGACTGAGGATCTGGAAAGCCAAGAGCTCTTTATATAAATTTTCAAAATAATGCTTTTTAGGCTCCATCTTATACTCCTGCCTTCAGAAGCAAATGGTATCTAATTCTTGAAATTTGCAGGTATTCTCCACATTCAAATCAGTATGCATCCAGTTAGCTTCTCACCCTATAGGCTTCTTTCCTTTTTATTTTTCTGCTTCCTAAATTGCAATTGTATTATGTACACAGGGATTAATATTTTCGGCGATGAATTACAAGAAAAGTGATTAACATGGTGCACAGTTGTTGTTGTTGTTGTTGCCGATGTTGTTAGGTACCACTGAGTCGGTACCAACTCATACCAACCTTATGCACAGCAGAACGAAACACTGCCCCAATCCTGGGCCCACCTCACTATTGTTACCACGCTTCAGTCCATCGATGCTGCCATTTGCCCAATCCATCTCATTGGGGGTCTATCTCTTTTTCTCTGACCCTCCACCTTACCAAACATGATATCCTTCTCCAGCGACTAGTCCCTCCTGATAATATGTCCGAAGTATGAGAGATGAAGTTTGCCAATTGTGGCCTCCAAGAAGTACTCTGGCTGCACTTCTTCCAAAACGAATCTATTGGCTCTTTTGGCAGCCCATGGCACTTTCAATATTCACCTCAAACCCCATAACTCAAAAGCATCAATTCTTCTATGGTCTTACTTATTCACTGTCCAGCTTTCGCAGGCATATGAGGTTACTGAAAATACCATTTTTGGGTCAGGCGCACCTTAGTCCTCAAGCTGACATCTTTGCTCTTCAACATTTTAGAAAGGTCTTGTACAGCAGATTTGACTAATGTAATACGTCATTTGATTTCTTGACTGCTGCTTCTGTGAGTGTTGATGGTTGATCCAAAAAGAATGAAGTCCTTGACAACTTCAATCTTTTCTCCGTTGATAAAAATGTTGTTTATTGGTCCAGTAATGAGGATTTTTGTTTTCCTTACATTGAGAT